CTCTTTAATTGCTGAGGGCAGCAATGTGCAAATCTGGGAATTGTTGATAAGTCTCCAATTTATTATGTATTAAGCGTTAATATGAGCATGAAATTGATTTAAAAGTAATTAAAAGTTATGAGAATTATAATTAAAGTGTTATTTTATTATCAAAAATATTCTAATACAAATTCTTATACTTTGCAGTAATTTTCAGCTCTATAAAAAGATATATTGGAGAGTTCAAGTGGATTTGTTATTCTGAATCATATAATTGATTGAAGATCTTATTGAAGATTCTCTTGAATATTTTTAAGGAAATTGTTTCCTTTAAATATAAAAGAGAAGATTTTAAAGATTTGATTAAAGATATGATTAGAGATTATAGTAAAGATTCCATCAAAGATATTATGAGAAATTAAAAGATATGGTTCAAGATTTAATGCAAGATCACACAAGAAAATAAAAAAAAATATGGTTTCTTCTATATAAAGAGGGCTGGCACATTCAAGAGAAGGAGCTTTTGGAGAAGAGTTTTGAAGAGTGAAGAGGAGGAATCCTGTTGCGGAGGATTGGAGCACTGAAATAGTCAAGACGACATCACATCCATGGAGTCTTGGGAAATTATTTTCTTTCCAATTGCTTTTGAATTCAATATGCTAGGCTAAGTAGTTTTTATGTAGTTAGGGATAGATGGAACCCAATTGAATCTTTATGTTTTATGAATTAGATTGTCTCTGAATTCTTCTCTTTTTATATTTGAATAAATTTATCTATTTTTAATGTTTTCTATGAGTTTGCTCCTTATAGATTGATTTAGGGGAATTATATGACAATAAGGATATTGGTGCATGAACCTCGATTTGATAAATTCATCATAACCCTTGTGATCTAGGGATAGACTTAGGGTAATTGTGCAATCTTTGAATTCTTGATTTTAATGCATGTTTTCTTAGGGAATAACCGGGGAACTAGGGTTCTTCCAAGATCACATAGATTTAGGGTAACAAGGAATTGAGCCTAATTAACTTAGAAAGAATTGATTGACATTATATTAAGAGCAGATTCTTGATTATTTAATTCATAGCATAAAGAGGATATTGGGGGAAGTTGAAACCCTAACTACGCTCGTTTTGATAATTAAACAACTCATCTTTTTAATTGCTTTTAATTCTAAAATCGCATGTTAGCGAACTAGTGCTTGCAAATCAATCCTTGTGGGAACGATCTCGTACTCAGTACACTTTATTACTTTTACGACCAGTGCACTTGCCGAAGTCGCAACAGCATACCTTTCAATGATATTGAACTCATTTTTTTCAAATTCATCTACAATGAAATGACATATGTCACATTCTCTAAATTTATTGTTTCGCAAATTGCTTCAGTATTAGAAGCTGAAATTTGCGGTCACTGTAAAAGAGTATATTAACAAATAAAATTACTTTTTTAAAACAAGTTCTACATTTTTTTGACAAGATGAAATAATTTTGATTTTTTGGTTTTTTTTTTATAAAAATCCATGAGCCGACTGGGTCACCGGTTTTGCTCGGGTCTGGCTGGTTTTGTCCGAGCTTAGCCAGGTGCGAAGCATGACGTTCAATGCTTGATCTGAATCGGTCCGATGGCCAGTTCGCCGAATTCCGGGTTAAGCCGGGTTTCACGATAGTGTTCATAATAAATAAAGTAATTTTTTGAATATCACAAAAGTTTAATATGGCAAATAAAATACAGGGGAGGGGGAATCGTAAAGCTAGAGCTATGCCAACAAGGAAAGGCAATGAAATTGTTTAGATATCCCCGTCAAAGCGGAAGATCCCATTGAAGCGGCTAATCCCATGCATACTGTCTGTACATCTGGTTGTACAAATTGCATAGTATCAAAAATAGCTATTCCGGGTATTACCCATCCGCCCGGAGAATTTATAAACAGGTACAAATCTTTGTTATCGTCCTCTATACTGAGATAGACTATAATAGGGGTGTTCGCGGTCTGGATTGGATCGGTTTTGGAAGCAAAACTCATCCGATCCAATCCCTTCGGTTTGATCATGTAATCATCCATTCAGTTTAGATTTTTTTTCAAATCCGATCCGATCCAATCCAACTTTTTTCGGTTTGGATTGGATCGGTTTTCGGTTTTTTGAATATCCTAAAATTAGTTTCATGATTCTTGTGCAAATAACATCTTTTGTATATATTGGCTTTGTAAAAAAAAAAATTGAAATACAAAAATATCAGTAAACAATACTATAGTTGATGAGACGTGACTAAGTTTTTTTTTGTGTTTAGTTGATGAGTTAATGGGTCTTGAGTTTAGAAATTTTTGGGCTACGATTGGAGAAAGGACAAGTAGGTAGAGAATAATTAATATATTGGATCGGTTTGGATTGGATCGGTTTTCATCAACCCATCCGAAAACCGATCCAATCCAATTAAAATTTGCGATTTTCTTTCGGTTTCCGATTTTTCAGTTTTCGGTTTATTCGGTTATCGATTTTTCGGTTCGGTTTTTGCGGTTTGAATCGGTTTGGAACGGTTGATGAACACCTCTAGACTATAAGGCCAATAATTTGATTCGATATTTCACTATCAACCTCCTGGCGGGGCTGGTAGAAGATATATTGGAGAGGAAAGCCCAAACAATAATAGTGGATGTGAACCCACTAACTGGGCTGTGATAAATAGTCCCATGAAGGGCCATGAACATAACGAGGGTATGTGACTGGTGGGAGTGGTGGCTATATTTTACGTTTATTGGTAGTATTTGGCTATATTACTACAAGAAAAAAGTTTATTTGTGACGAAATTTTTTCGTCACAAACGATAATTTTCGACACAAATATATTTGCGACACAGGAATTTGTGACGAAATTTACTTGTGACGTAGGAATTAGTGACGAAATTTCATAAAATTTTGTCACTAATAAGATTAATTTTTCTTGTAGTGATTCAAATTAAATCAAGTAACTGATATATTGGTATATTCAAATTAAATAATAATAAAATATAATCAAGTAAATTTAAGTAAGATAAAATATTTTGAATGGTTTAGTTTAGAACTTTTACATTTAATTAATTATTATTAATTTTCTCATATTTATTTATTGTTATTGACGCATTTATTTAATTGTATTGTTAGTTTTACGTTTTTCTTTTACATGAAATCTTAAACAAAATGAAAAAAAAAGGTTTAAATTTATAATAATTTTTTTTCAGCTCTCATAAAATATGATATAGTCTTGTGGTAAAATTATAACTATTCAAAAGTAAATCAACGGTGATGATTTTGTAACTACTTATTTTAATATTTTTTCTATTTTCTCTTATAGTCATGTGGGAAAATTACAACTATTCATGTAATCAATGGTGATAATTTTATAACTATTTATTTTAATATTTTTTTTTCTCTTTTCTCTTGTCATCATTGATCTACCTTTGCATGGTTATGATTTTCCTACATAATCATGAGAGGATTCACTCCCAAATTATAACACACTGTTATCTTCGTACGGAGTGGAAAGCCTAAACCCTTAGGGTATGTTTGGCAGAAGTTTTATTTTGGATTTGATATTGGGGAAGTATGGGTGGGTATTGGAAAATACTACGTTTGGTTCAAGTTTTTGAAAAAAATACTAGGCAAATAGGATGGCTGAGAAACGACTTTGGTGCTGTTTTTTGGGTGAAATATACTGTTACAAAATACCACATGAGATGTGATATTTTGAAATAACTGGAAAAGTGGAAAAACATGTGTGAAGTTCCTTCCGAACATAGACTTTGCAAATTTAAATAAATTTCTCCAGTAATATTTCGGTCAACCAAACATTTTTTTTTTAACTTTTTCATCAAACCGACTTTCCTACCATTTCCCAGTATTTATATTTCCTTGGTAAAAAAAAATTATCCTCTACCAAACACACCTATATATAGTCCTTTTATATACTAGACAGCCGGAAAAAACTGAAAAAACTGCTTATATGGTTTAAAGTTTCATGTATCGCTAGCTAGCTTCGTATTCATTGGTGAAGCACGCAGTCAAATCCAAATAATTCTTACATTAGATAGAAAGTTTCTTGAAGTTCATGTAGATATTTAAGAAGACAAGCCATGTGTATGAAATAAAGAAACTCGAATCATTGACAAAAAAAACAACTGACATTCTAAATAACTTATCTTGGAGCAATATATTGAGCCATACATATCTTTCACATTTACCTGAAAAATAATAATCTCATGTTGTATAAGAAAGTTATCTTATATCATACATCCATAGAATTTTATGCTAATTTTTTTTTAGATTGTGAACCCCACATATTTATGTCACTCACATGAAAATACTATCTCATGTAACATGAGATTAGTAAACCTCTTCACTTAATTAAGAAGAATAAGGCTATACTATAATTTTTTTTATATATATTCTATGAAGCACCGACACTTCAAAAATCCTGACGTGTCGTGCCCGACACTTCTCGACACTCTCGGACACTCCTCGACACTTCAACACACGATAGAAATTCAAGAAAAGGATTAAAGGTTGCGTTGCGTTGGATCACGATTACTATTTTATTGAGTTTAATATAAATATTTGGGATATCTTATGTTTTTTTACAAAATTTATGAATATTATAAGTTTAGATTCATTTTTTTGTTAAATTATTGAATATTAAATATAATATACACTACATAAATTAAAAATATTATTTAATATCAAAACGTGTCCTAACGTGTCGAAATCTAACATTTTTAGTAATTAACGTGTCGAAGTGTCGTGTCGTACCGTGTCACGTGGTATCGGTGCTACATAGTATATATTTACCAGTCCATCAATCACTCCATTAGTCCAACTGGAACATTAATTGTCAGATTCTTCAAAGGGTGGGTACAACTCTTTCAAGATCATTTTCTCCGTTTAAAGAACTCCAACTCAAGACTGGCCTCTTATTTGGGGAAATAATTTCCTTGTTGCTTGTACCACTAAATCAATGCTCTTATTCGAAGAAAGTACTAATGGTTATTTAAAGGGGCTGAACTATGAGGGGAAGACCACATGTTGGTCTTAGGGAGAGCATGATAGAAGGAGAATGTTGATAACCTGGTGAAAGTTTGAAACTAAACCTAGAGAGGAGTAGGGTTAATACAATCTTATACTCCATAAAGGACAAGTTCCTACCAACACACATTCTCCCTCCAAACCCAAAAGGTAAGTACCCCATCTTGTGGTTGCACCCACCATCGACATCATCCATGAACCTCTCTGGTCTAAACTCATTCACATCCTTTCCCCACAATGCAGGGTCATGGTGCATTGCTACGAGATCGATCCACAAGTTGGTTCCATTAGGCACTGTTAAATCATCAACTTTAATGTCTTCTCTTGCTTGCCTTTGCACATTCGGTGCTGGTGGGTATAGTCTTAGAACTTCATTCATCACCCACTTCATCTGCATGTATGATCAAGACATTAAGGTCAGAGATAAACTATAAGAAACTAATCATTAATATAAGAAAGTGAAAATAAAAGAATTAAGGTTATATATTATATATCAACGGCTTTACCTTCTTTAAATCAGAAAGCATAGTGATATCAAGCTCGTTGTTACCAACGACTTCTCTTATTTCATCTCTCAACTGGTTTTGCCAATCTTCATGCATGGCTAGAAGAAGCAAAGTCCATGTGATAGCAAGTGCTGTGGTTTCATGGCCACCAAAGAAGAAGGTCTTGCATTCATCAACCAGTTCTCGCCTTGTTAATGTCTTTCCTGATTTGCCATCAACTTGTTGATGATTTTCTTGAAGCAACAAACCTAATAAATCTTGTTGAGAACCCTTTTTGGGTGATTTCTTCCGAGTTTCTATGATGGACAACAATAGCTCATCGATTTCTTTGCCAAGTTTCTTGGCCTCTAGGGTTTTCTTGACATTGAAATACTTGCCAAAGGGAACCCCTACATACCTATTGGTCTTAAAAAGAGTCATTTGCAATGCTCGTAATTTGTGAAACACCTCTCTAGCAATTTCATCTTTCATGCCAAAACTTGCTCTTGCTATGATCTCTCCAGCTGTTGCTATAATCTCTCTCTCCACGTCGATTTCGGGGTTTCCTGAATTTATTTGCGTAGCCCATCTTTCTATCATTTGGTTTGTAGACTCAACCATCATGCTTCCCATGGCCTATCACATTAATTACACAAGATATTCAAAGACTAATTAGACTGCGTGCTTGTGGCCAAAATAGAAATCAAAACGTTTGAAATCAAGAAATAACAAAAACGATAATTTTGATTTTGTTACGTACGTAATAGTATCATTACTTGGTTATTTTATGCTTTACTTGGTCATGGAGTGCATGCATGTGTAGAAAGTTAAACGTTCAATTCAATTTCCAATTTGTATCTAACAAATGAAAAAACATATCTACAAAATGTATAAGAGCCAAAAATAAATAAAATAAAATAAATCTTCCACAATTATTTTAAACTAGGGCATGTGTACTTTTCAAATCATGACGTGATTCTCTCTATATATATATGTAGATAATTTTTGCTTGGAAGCCACCATGGATGGTCTTATTTCTATGTTTGAAAATTATATGGTACACTAGCAAGTTGAGAGAGAGAGAGAGAGAGAGAGAGAGAGAGAGAGAGAGAGAGAGAGAGAGAGAGAGAGAGAGAGAGAGAGAAACCTTCAAGTTAAGGGGATTGAATGCAGGGGCAATAATGTGACGGTGACGAACCCAATCGTTACCCTCGACCATGACCAAACCACTCCCAAACATGGGGTCTCTGTCATTTCTAAACACACTAGGTTTCCCCCATCTCTTTGCTATCACCTCTGTTGACATTTTCTTCAAGAACTCTGGGTCTGCAACGTACAAAAATGGTTCCGTTCCCAGCCAGTAGATAAACACCTTACCTACAAAAACAGAATCAAAATCATGCATGATTTCACCTCTTATTGAAGCCCCCAAAACATGCATGCGGGTCCATCTTGGGTTTGCACCCACACACACATATATATATATATATATATATGGAAAAATATTTGTCATTATAAATGACATAAAGTTATGTCATTTTAAGATAGATAGACACACATAATTTATATTATTTAAAATGACAAACACCAAATTCATATATATATATATATATAATATGGGTTTTATTAATGTTATATGACATGATATAAGTGGGTTTTCCAACACACACAATAATGGAGAGAGAGAAAGTTGAATGATGAAAGAGAAAGAAAAACATGTGGACCTCTTTAATGTGTGTGTAGGAAAGTTATGTTATGTTATGTAAAATAATAAACATAAAACCCATATAATATATACATAACTATGTATGCACATACCATGAGAAATTTGCCACCGAGAAAAGTAGGGAAAGACGGTGGAATGTATATCATGGGTGAGTTTTGAGTACCCGAGTGAAGCATTAACGCTATTCTTCATTTTCATCTCTTGAATGTTTCCAATTGGAAAACTTGGGGTTGGTCCTCCAAACCCACATCTTTTAAGCTTTTGATGTGTTTGGATGGGCAAAATCCACCAACAAAACGTTAGTTTCAAGAGCAAGAAGAGAGTTAACATTGTCACGAAGCTAAGAGCCCCCGTTAGCACTAAAAGCTCCATATTTCTCTGTCTTGATTTCAGCACTTACAACTAACACCTCAATATCTGTGTTTATTGTTGAAAGCAAAGTGCGGAAGGGGTATTTATAGAAAAGGATATCTTGGAATTCTTAATGTTATTTATAAGAAGTTGGATGTGAAGAGATGTAGTTTTATTTTCGAATGGACATGACTTTTCACAAGATTACTTTCCATTAGTGAACAGATATTATTTTTCACTGGCGAACAGACACGACTCTTCAACGTCAATAGGCATTATTTATCATTATCAATCATAGTTTATAAATAAGGAAGGGAATCATCATAAATTGTGGCTTTTTCTAATGAGAATAACATCTATCCTTTTAAAGGATATGACCATATATATGTCATTTTAGATCCTAATCGTTGATTTTCATCTATCAACGATTATAATTTATTGGATCAAAATTATTAATTAATTAATAATAAGTTTGACCGATTAAGTTTGACCCAATATATTATAACATTTGATGGATGAAAATCAATGGTTATGATCTAAAATGATATATGGTTATATCCTTTAAAAGGATAGATGTTTTTCCCTTTTCTAATTTAACTCTCATACTGAAACTTTGTAAAAAAAAAAGTGTTTGAAATCTCTTGCATTCATTTTGTGCGATTGATCAACGTTTGTTGTGTTTGCCAGTATTGTTTATTTTAATTGTGCCACCGTCGAAACAAAGATAGCTCGATTTATCCTAATAGGCATTTGTCTACGAACCTTATGCACCATGAAAGAGCAAAATTGCCTTAAAGACACAATATACAATACTCGGCTCGGGTTTAAATTTTTGCAATATTTATGCCTTGCATGTTGCATTTTGATTTAGTGTGATTGAATGCAATTTTGTGTTTTATTAATATTACTCAAACCCACAACATAGATTTTCTACGCGCGCTACCACCAATAACAGGATATGGGTTATGAGAATGCGTGGCATTTCACTATATGAATATCACCCAGCGGCAAGGTTTGAACATTTTCGAAGGATACTCAGTTCTCTCAGTTTAACCTTTTACACCCACATTTTGTTTGTGCATTTGTTTCTTTTTTGGACGGACCAATATTTTATTTTTTGAGTCGACAATATTTTTTTTTTTTTTTGGATATTACAATATTTTATTTTTTAATTGTTTTGGTCGGACTACATATACTCACACCGAAGTTTCTTGAACTACTTTAATTTCTATTTCCAATTTTCTCCTTCAATTATTTATTTTTATAATCAATTTTATCTATAAAACCATCGAAAACAGTCAGATAATGAGATGATTAATATTGCTTAGCTTAGCAAAGATCCAACCAAGAAAAAAGTTTATTTGTGATGAAAAATTTCGTCATAAATTTTGTCACAAAAGATAATTTTCGATACAAATAATTAAATTTCGTCACAAATAAACTTGATGTAAGAATTTGTAACAAAATTTTACAAAATTTTGTCACTAATAAAAACTTTTCTTGTACGCGGATTTGGAAATCTGTGTGAAGTGGGGCCAAATTATGTACATATTTTAAATTCTTTGTGAATGTGAGTAAAACTTTTGAGAGTATTATAAGCTTTAATTAAGTTCAACCGGTTGGAATACCAGAAAAAGAAAAAGAAAAAGAAAAGTTAACCGGTTGAAATGGGAAATTTGGTTCTTGAAATTTTTGGGACAATGGTACACCCTGGCTCCCATGGATATTGGTAATGTTCTACCATAGTTCACATGCTGTTGTGGAACTAGTTTAAAACAAATAAGCCATTCTAATTTTATGTATGTTTTTCTCAATCTATTACTTAAAAATTTAATGCAGAAATAGGGTAATAAAAATAGTGCTTTAATATTTCTAAAATGAATGTACATTCACTATGTCGTTTTGAATTGAAAAATTAAAAAATTATAATGGAAAAGACTATTATAACCCTGAAATAAATTATAATTATAAAAATATCTTGATTTTCGCTTCAAAAGGACGTCGTTTTAGGCTTAATATAGATAACTTATCTACATTGACTGCAGGAAAAGCGAATCCATAAAAATAATATATGCTAATGACAAAAACTTTAAAAAAAAAAGTATCATGCATTTATCAAAATTTTACAGAATACTCTATTCGATTTAAAACTTATTTTATGTATTTATCCAATCCTCATATTGAGAAGTGACAAAAACACTAGTATTAGATAAATTGGAGGTAGGATCAAAGAGTTCGAGACGATCGTGAACTGGCTACTAACCTACTCATTATGATTGGAGAAAATCGGTTGGTTGATAATACATAAAAAGTAAAAACGATATATAAAAATGCATGATATAGGGAAAACAAAAATTCACAAGAACCATTACCTTAATTTTTTATTATTAAACCCTATAGATAATGAGTCCACCACCGTCACCATATAAGCAGTGAGTAGGTCTTGGTGTAAGTCTACAACAAGATAATTCCTGATGCGGTGGGTCAGTTTCCTCTTTTCCTCGAGTGGTAAGAATCAGATATTGTTTCTAATGTCATAATTTCTCTAATGTTAGAAACGTGTAGCTTAATTATTCTGCAGCGACAACAATAATCATTCTCACGTCTCCTTATATTTGTTGCTATCAGCAATTCCAATCCCTGCTCCTTAATTCATCTGTCTTTTAGGGGTACATGCACCTTTGAGAATGGAATGAATTTCTAATTAAGGCATTTAATTGTTCAGTATATTATTTGAGAAACAGAAAACAGAAAGAGAGAGTGAAAATTCATATTGCTATTCATTGCATCAGAGCCTTACATGTGAGCGTTTGTTATATACACATTCCTACTGAAGACGGAAAGAAAGGGAGGAGAGAAAAGTTTGTTACAACTGAATCCAACGTGGCACCTTATACAAGATTCTAGAATAAAAAATGAAAATATATATGGTAATACTCCCCCTCAAGATGGAGAGTAGATATTGAAAAAACTCCCATCTTGGAAAGAAGTGAATGAAAAGGAGTAGGAAGTAAAGCCTTGGTGAGCAAGTCTGCAAGCTGGCTGGAAGAAGGGACATGAAATGTGCGTAGAGTTCCTTTATGAATGTGCTCCCGTACAAGATGACAATCAATATCAATATGCTTTGTGCGCTCATGAAACACAGAATTTGCAGCAATATGAAGGGCAGCCTTACTGTCACAGAACAGATGTGCAGGACCAGTATGAGCAACATGTAAATCACGTAATAAGGAAAGAAGCCACAACAATTCACAAGTAGTAACAGCCATTGATCTGTATTCCGCCTCAGCCGAAGACCGGGAAATAGTATTTTGCTTCTTGGACTTCCATGAGATTAAAGAATTACCAAGAAAAACACAAAAACCGGATGTAGACTTGCGGCTATCAGGGCAAGAAGCCCAATCAGAATCACAAAAAGCATTTAATTGCAAAGAAGATGAAGATGAGAAAAAAACACCTTGTCCAACAGTAGACTTGAGATAAGCTAAAACACGATAAACAGCATGTAAATGAGGAATCCTTGGTGATGACATGAACTGACTTAGGTGATTCACCACATAGCATAGATCAGGCCGAGATACAGTAAGATAGAGCAGTTGACCAATCAGTCTACGGTATTGCTTTGGATCAGGCAGCAGGTCACCTTCATGCAGGGAGAGTTTAAGATTAATATCCATAGGTGTGGTATGCGATTTGCAGCCAAGTTGCCCTGAGTCCTGTAAAATTTGTAAGGCATATTTGCGTTGACAAAGAGAAATGCCCTTTGGAGAACGAGCTATCTCCAATCCAAGAAAATACTTGAGAGCTCCAAGATTTTTGAGTTTAAATTTGTTGTCCAAAACAGTAGTTAACTGCTGCAACTCAGAGGAATCATTGGAAACAACAAGGATATCATCAACATAAACCAACAGGGCAACAAAGAGAGTATCATTCTTCTTAACAAATAAAGAATTGTCAGACTGGGATTGTGTAAAACCAAGAGAAAGAACAGTGTTGGAAAATTTGGCAAACCATTGCCTAGAAGCTTGCTTCAAACCATAAAGAGACTTAGTGAGACGGCAAACAGCATTAGGAGGCAGCTCCCCCTTACTAGAATATCCAGGAGGAATTGTCATATATACCTCTTCAAGTAAATCCCCATGCAAAAAAGCATTGTTGACATCCAATTGGAGGAGATGCCAATTATTTATAGCAGCAAGAGCAAGGAGTGATCGGACAGTAGTAATCTTGGCCACAGGAGAAAATGTATCAAAGAAATCAATACCTTCTTGTTGCTTAAAACCTTGAGCAACAAGTCTAGCCTTGAAACGTTCAAGAGAGCCATCTGAATGGTATTTGACACGATAGACCCATTTGCAACCTACAACAGGTTTACCAGGAGGCAGTGAAGTAATATGCCAAGTGTTGTTAACCTCAAGAGCATGGATTTCAGCACGCATAGCAGCAGTCCACTCGGGTAATTGGGAGGCTTCAGTGTATGTGGTAGGTTCAAAATGTTGAGAAATGGCATTAACAAAGGCTAGGTGTGGTGGGGTTAGGTGATCATAAGAAAGATGATTGGAAATAGGATGAGCTGTGGAGGAAGAGCAAACATAATCCTGAAGGTAGGGAGGTGGTTTAGGCATACGAGTTGGTCTGGATGGTAAAGGGGCAGATTGTGTAGTGGAAGAATATTGGGGAAAAGCAGGAAAAAAAGGTTCTGTTTGTTTGGAAGAGGCAAAAGGAAAAATTGTTTCTGAAAATTGGACATCCCTGGAGATGATGATACGGTTGGAATGAAGATCCAAAAGTTTGTAACCTTTATAGCCAGTAGGATAGCCAATGAACACAGCAGGTAAGGATCTTGGGGAAAATTTGTGACGGGTTCTGGACAAGGTGGAGTAATGGCATAGACACCCAAAAACTCTAAGGTGATCATATTTAGGAGACTTGTGACAAAGAAGTTCAAAAGGGGTTTTATTGTGTAATAGTGGAGATGGGGTTCAGTTGATGAGATAGATGGATGTGAGGACACACTCAGGCCAATATATCAAAGGTATGTTGGATTGAAAATGCAAGGCTCTTGCTACATTGAGGATATGCTGATGTTTCCTTTCCACAACTGAATTCTGTTGTGGTCTATCAACACAGGAATGAGAAATTTGGAGACCTTTGGATGAGAAGAAATCAGATAAGTGAAATTCTGGGGCATTGTCACAACGGATTGATTTAATGGGAAGGTTGTACTATGTGAGCATGAGTGTATAAAACTGAGGAAAAACAGTATGAAAATCAGACTTCTGTTTCAAAAAATAACACCAAGTAAATCGGGTAGCATCATCTACTAAGGTCAAAAAGTATTTATAACCATCAACTGAATGAACATGAAAAGGACCCCAGATATCACAATGGATCATATCAAAAGCAAATTTAGACATTTTGGGATTCAGTATAAAAGGTAATCGTCTTTGTTTAGCAATGGGACAAATCAAGCAAGGAGAAGAGACACAATTGTTATCAGTAAAATGTAAATCTTGTTTCATTGAATGCAAAATGGGATGAGACAAATGACCAAGACGAAAATGCCAAATAACAGAAGAAGGCATACCAACAGTGGAACAAAGGGATGGGGGGACATTAAAATTAGAAAAAGATAAAGCATCTAGAACATAAAGACCACCAAGTCTCTTAGCAGTCCCAATCACTTTGGCCGATGAAAGGTCCTGAAGAGAACAAGATGAAGAAAAAAAATTAGCAACAATGGAAGAGTCTCGAGTGAGTGCACTGATGGATAGAAGATTAAAAGAAAAAGCAGGTACATATAAGACATTATGTAGTATAATGGAAGGGGAAAGTTTGATGCTACCAATAGATTGAACAAAAACAGAAGTATTGTTGGGTAAAGAAACAACCGAATCAGATGTGTGAGGTGGTGAAATGAAAAATTGAGGTGTGCATGTGACATGATGTGTAGCACCCGTGTCCAGAACCCAAGAGGTCAAGGGAAAAGAAGGAGAACACCTACCGCTGAAGCTGGCAACAGAAGGAGAAGCTTCGGTGGCAGGTGGCAGTGGCGTGAAGGATGAGGATGAGGATGACTGATCGGTAGGTGGGAGAAGACTTAAGAGGTGTTGGTATTGAGAGGGAGTCAACGTGGGATTAGGTAACTCAGCTATAGTGGGATTAGGGGAGTTAAAAATGGCATGGGCTGATGGAGTGAGTGGAGTGGGCCGCACAAACTTGGGCTTGTACCCAGGGGGAAATCCATGAAGCTTAAAACACTTCTCCCTTGTGTGACCAGAAATGTGACAGTAAGTGCACTGAGGGCGAGATCTGCGAAACGGAGCAGAGGATATGGCAGCCAAGGGAGCAGAACCAGGAACCGGGGATGAAGCCACAGCATATGCAGAGTTAAGCAAAGGGGAATCAGGTAACACCGGCAGAGGGCACGTAATTTGACGTTGCCTTTCCTCCTGAAGCACGAGAGAGAAGATCCTTGATAATTGTGGAAGGGGCTCCATGAGCAAAATTTGAGCCCGAACAGAGGAGAAAGAATCGTTCAGTCCCATCAAGAATTGGAGAGCATGATCCTGTTGGTGAGAAGCTGAAATCAGGCGTGAAGCACCACAAGTACAGGCAGGAATGGGAGAGTAATCCTGGAATTCATCCCAAAGAATCTTAAGACGTGTGTAATATCCATTAACATCAAGACTACCCTGAGTAAGAGACGCTATTTGTTGCTTCAACTGAAATATCTTTGGACCATTGGCTTGAAGAAAACGATTACGAAGATCCGTCCATATTTCGGATGCAGATGAAAAATAGAGAAGACTGTCAGAAATATCCTTCGAGACAGAGTTCAAGATCCAAGATGTTACCATTGAGTTACAACGATTCCATGACTGAAATAAGAGATCATCAGAAACAGGGCGCGGAAGGGAACCATCAACGAAAAACAATTTGTTTTTCGCTGATAATGCAATCATCATGGCGCGGCTCCATGAATGAGAATTAGATCCAAGAAGGACATGAGAAACGAGAGTGAGACCAGGATGATCACCACTGCTCAAAAAATAAGGACTACTGGAATCTTCCATGGTTACAGAGGAAGAAGAAGCAGAAGATGTAGTAACTGGACGAGAACCAGCAGCATTATTGGTATTATTAGAGCCACGAGCCATAGAGAAGGCAAGGGCGAAACGTCTACTGATACCATATTATTTGAGAAACAGAAAACAGAAAGAGAGAGTGAAAATTCATATTGCTATTCATTGCATCAGAGCCTTACATGTGAGCGTTTGTTATATACACATTCCTACTGAAGACGGAAAGAAAGGGAGGAGAGAAAAGTTTGTTACAACTGAATCCAACGTGGCACCTTATACAAGATTCTAGAATAAAAAATCAAAATATATATGGTAATACAGTATATAACCTTTATATACAAGGCATTTAATTGTTCATCTGTCTTTTAGGGTACACCTTAAGTTAGATTTTGTCATGTATTTAATAATATTTTAATTTAACCATGTGTTCGTGAATTCGATTCTTAGAGACGGTGTTAATGAATAAATTTATATACCTGATTATAACATGTGGTTATGCTTGAGCTTCTATTGAGTGGTATGATGATGTGGTAGCGGATGAGCTCCTCCATGTGCTCTCTGATGGGAAAATTAGGGGGTGAAGTTGCAAGATATTTCGACATTTAAGTCAGTATCAATCGTGGCCATAATATGATAGATAAAATATTTATATGATGCTTATTGCCTATTCTCTGGTGAATGAAAGTGAAGATCCCTTGTAGAGGTTTTGAATTTTCCCCTTTGTTAATGGGTTCAATGCTTAGTTGCCTAAGCTGAATATATTTTTAAGTACAATATATATATATGGCCACGATTGTGGCCACGATATGATAGATAAAACATTTAAGTCAGTATCAACCGGTGTCAAAGGATCCTACCATATATATATATATATATATATATATATATATATATATATATATATATATATATATATATATATATATAAGATGATATAGTGTAATTAGTAATATTTTAAAAAAGGAATAATAAACTGCGTATTGAATTCATAAAGTGTAAAGATAAAAATATAAAGAGGGAGAAGTTTCAAATAAAACATTTTTGTGTGATAATAGTCATGAATTATTTTTTTAAATATTGAAGCTTTTTATTTCTATAAAAGTTAATATATTTTTTGAACATGTTGATCGATAGATTTTTATAAAAATTAATATCAAATGATATATTTGGAAAACTTATATAAATTATTTATTAAAGGATATTTTTGTCAAAATTATTTATTTTTATCCTATCTAATGTTATACAATGCATTATCAAATACTGGATAATATTATCTTATACAATATATTATTTTATAAAATAACATGTCAAATATTAGATAATATTAAAATTTAATCAAACAGACCTTATATTATTAGATCTTATTCTATCTTGTACCTCCAATTTGCCCCGAGGGAAAATGCTTGTTCAATTTGAAACCAAACCAACAACATTTTGTTTAGGCCTTATTTGTAAGATTTTATCATGTTTGTTACTTGCCACCCGAGAAAATCTTGGATTTTCCAAATGAGACTTCGTCCATATACGGAATAATTAAACTTCAATCCTTTAATCATATTACCTCCAATATAATATTGACACTAATTAAATATAAAATTAAATTATTTATTATTTGTTAAACATAAATAATCAGTCTTGAAGGATGAATTTTAAGTTGTTTACACTTTTTTTATTTTTAGTTTTTTTTTATTAATTTATTTGTAACATCTTATTTTATTTTTTATCTGTCGATAGTTGATTTGCAAAACTCTTTGCATTTAAAGTGATAAATGTTTTAATTCGCATGCAATCAGCTGCAAATGACTTTATTATAAAGATGTATATTTTTCTTGTATCTAAAAGAAAATCCAGGAAAGTATGGGGAAAAAAAATCCACGAAAACATATTTTCTGGGCACGCCAGTATAAAGAGAATCTACTACATTTAAAACAGTACATCAAATTTCACCAACTGTCGGCTGAACTCAAAGTTGCATACCAATTAAATCAAATTCCTTATTTAACAAAAATAAATAAATAAATCAAATTCCTTATACTTACATTACTTACTGTGGACACTCCAATTGCATTCGTAGTACTTTCCTATTATTAAAATATCAAATTTGCTATTCCTTTATGAAGAAATTACAATAAATAACTGACACAATTTATATTCAGAAGTCATGGAAAAGCATCAGAGCATCATCAAGTTTCATCAATGATGATCCCAGGAGTAACCAGACATTTAGCAGCCGTTTGTATTTCTTCTGTAGTGGCCCTGGCTCCTTAATCTTGTCTTTAGGAACATTTAAAAGCTGGAACAAGTATCAATAACATAGGAGTAGTATAAATCAATCGATTGATAATGAAACTGAACGCAGGAGATGCAGTCAATAAATTGGAATATGTACGGAGCATAGTTACGAGCTGTACAACATGGCATAACCAACAAAAACCAACCATGTCAAACATTCTGTTTCCATGTACTAGAGGAGGTGCAAGAATGAGGAACTCAATCTTCCCACATTTTCTGACAGCTGATATTATGCTAAAAAGGCATTGGCAACAGCAACTCCAATAATAGTGTAGAAACTAGGAGGACTACTTACTGAAAAACTTTCCTTTTCTACAACTTGGGAGACTCCCGTAATTTGTAGCTCGGATTGGAACATTGGATAACAAGGGGGGGGGGGGGGGGGGGGGGGGGGGGGGGGGGGGGGGGGGGGGGGGGGGGGGGGGGGGGGGGAATATCAATGCAAACGTTACAGTTATTTAGATGGAAAATAACTAGGAAGATATTCTTATTAGCTTTAAATCAAAAGACTCTTCAAAAACACCACGGGGGATGGGGAACTTAACTGTTTCCCACTCGGTCTTGCCACACCGAGGTTTGCGGAACAACCAACACATACTTAAGATATTATGAGGTAAACTTATAAACATATTAAACTGAGGTCAATTTATAAACAAATTTAAAGAGTTACTAACCTCTTCATCCTTTTCCTGCTCAAAAGCCATTCTTAGGCTCAAATTTAAGGCAGCATGGTACATCTCGTCCAGAACATATTCCCAAAGCAGAGGCTTATTAACTTTCCACATCAAAATCTTTGATTGCTTGGTTCCCGTCAAGAGTAATTTCTGCAATGAAGATTAAGTTGTCGAAAGATTAAATATTAAGTCACAAATATTAACTTATTTCTAAAGTTCTCGTACATATTAAAAAAGGAGATTGGTCACCTCCATATGCAAGTAGTTATCCTTCCATAACTTGAATAGTAACTTTGGAGCTTCCTTTTTCTCGACAAGAGTAGACTCAGCTATCTGCAAAGAAAAAGAAGCATTAAAAGGTCACAATAGTAACATAGTATTTGAATCATCGGGATTTCTTTGATTTCAGATTGAAAAAAATGGAGGAATATGTAATCACTGACATATAATACCAATTTAGCAATCTCTTTAATAGGTTTTTTGGCGCATATGAAGCATCACAGAGGAATGTCAATGTGGATGAAGTTAATAGACATCCTAATCTAACAGCTTTGGCAACTGAGATTGTTGGTCATTTAAATAAGTATTTTTTATTTATTTTTTGAAAAAAAAAAGAAATCATTTGTAGCTCAATGTTGAGGTGCAATGTTGAGGTCGGAGTTTATTTCTTCACCAGGCTACCTTTCTCCCTACCCTATCCAAGTGTTTGAACTTCCAGTGTAATAATAAAAAATATTTGACTAGGAAAACAGAGAAATAACAATATAATTATACCATAAGCTGGAATTTATCGTAATACAGAATTTATGCTTCATCAGAACTGACAACCTGTTTGAAAACTCAATTTATTGCATAAAATGAAATAGTTCTACTGTAAAAATGATTTATATGGTGGTTGTTAATACCCAACCAAAAATAGATTTGATTGGAAAACAGCCGAATATCAAAGGTCACTGAATGCTTTCAGCAGTAACTCACTCCTTATATCTCTTATATTAATAGGACAAACATGAATTTGGTCTCTTTGGTGTCTCCAAAACACAAAAGTAACGTAACTATTACAGATTTATAATTAATATGAGTAGTTATTTTCTAAAATTATTTATTCTTTATTTTTTAAATAAAAATCAGATTAACAAACTTTTTTTTTTTATACATGATTAAAAAACATTTTAATGTATTTCAATAAGCTAGCAAGTATTATTTTATGACAATAGATTCCTTTTATACAGCCTCATTTATTTTATTAAATGCCAATAGTACCATTTAATAAACATGCAGGACTTGAATTTTTATTTTATATTTTTGGCAATAGAAATAAAAATCTTTTTATACATTACACATTCATTGCTTAAGAACTTCAACAATAAAAATTCATTACTAAATTTTCATTGCCTAAATTTTCACTTTTATCAAACATACCCTAAATGTTGTTACTCTTAACACTTCATCCTTCAAAATCCATGTGGGTTACTGCAGCTAATAATAACCCTAAAGCATCAAGTTAATTGGACTAGAATCTCAAACTGCCTACATCCATGAAAGAAGATCAATAGAATCCCCGTCATTTATTAGCAAAAATAATTTTTGACAGCTTCATCAACAAGAGTTAATCACCTTATCTGTCTCACAAAAACAATTATCCTTTGACAGTAGCCTGAACATTCTGTAGGCATCCCTTCCATACCTTTTCAACACAATTGACTCAACCTGCAACATAGTACCCAAAACGAGACAGTTCTACATGAGCAAAACATGGATATTTATATATATGTATACATGTAACTTTTAAAGGACAAAAAGATATTAAAACCTCTTCATTTCGAGCTAATTCAATAATGTACTTCAAATCTGGAAAGGAAAAGAAAAAATTTCTAAATTACAAACTATTAAAGGAATCAAAAATCAGAACTAGGATAGAGTTCTTTCACATGAACAAATAACAACACAAGGTTTACGTTTTATATTACAAAAAATAGCCTAACATTAGGAAGAGATGTTATCGTTACCAATACTAAATGAATCATCTACAAACATCCTTGGTGGACAATGCATCTGGCTAAGAGAAGCTTTAACACGATCTAACGTCATAGCACGACCATTTTCAGTCTTCATCACCTCTGTGAATATTGTATCCAGTGATAAGGGAACTGCAGCACACAGGATAATTTAGTGTGAGCCAAGAGTAGGGGTGTGCAAAAAATCCAAATGAACCAAACCGAACTGTGAACCGATCCTAACCGCACCGAAAGAATCACTATTTTTGAACCGGTTTAAAAACCGAACCCTTTTTTTCAAAACGGATTTGGTTCAAGAACCAAACCACTTTACCGATTTATTTCGATTCGGGCTAAAAACCGAACCACAAACCACACCACATTTTTTTGAACCAAATCGCAAACCAGATTTTTTTGAACCGATTCAAGAACCAGACACTTTTTAAAACTAGTTCGATTTGCCCGAACTGAACCACTTTTCCTGTTCGGTTCGGTTCCACGCAAAAAACCGAATCGAACCATGCACACCCTTAGCCAAGAGGAGGTCTTTCTTTTTACTTTTTGATGAAAGAAGAAATTGATCAAGACATAAAAAAAATTAGAAAGAGAAGGGACGATAAGGACTCCTCCATAAAAAAAGAACAAAACAGAAAACAAACAAGAAAAAAGAGAAAAACAATGGAGCAAAGATGCACAATTCCTCAGCCTATCTGTTAGAGAAACCCCATGAAAAAGGCCATATGCATTTATACCAAATAGAAACCAATCGCCTAATCTCCTCCCAAATCAACTGCTGAGCCAAGTAAATCGTATGCTCTAAGTGACACCTTATACATGGTATAAAAGAACTAATCAAACTTCAATTCAAGGTGTACAATTACATCATCTGGCCACCATAATAGTATGATTTCTCAAACTTAAAGCCAATGACAAACTCAAAAATGACTGACCACTCATCTGCTCTTTCTTTTGGTTATAGATTATTGAATTCCAGAACAGGCAAAAGCTTGACAGTTGAGAGCAATCAAAGCATGGCATGGCACAAGCATTCATCAAATCTTCACAAATTATAACAATTTTAATAGTTATTACTATCTAAATATTTAACTACCAAGAGACATGAATACTAACATCATAGATTTCCAAAATTCATAAAGCAAGGAATCTGGTTCACCTGAATTCTCTATTTTTACTTTTTTCTCTACAGTTCTTGTTGCCTCCAGTATTGCACTTAAGACAGTAGCAGCTCCATCATCCAGTTGTGTTCTTACATTCTCCATCAATGCCTAGAATATGCATAGAACATTTCAAGTATATTCTTCCAATAAAAATATCCAGAATGCTAACATAACACGGAGAAAAAATATCTTCTCACTCATATAAACACAAATACTATGTATGAAAAATAAATGTGAGATCCATGAAAATATCACAAATCACAATGTTTTACTAATATGATTAAAAAGAAAACCAAGAGCATAAACAATAGTACAATCCCTGTTGCCACATTTAACACACAAGAGAAAATACAGTAGCATTAATAAAAATAAAAAAAACAAAATTAATTAAATGCTAAACTGCTTTACAGGAAGCACTACATAATGATCCAGTGATGTGAATATAGCCCTCACCCCGACCACATGAGCTTCTATTTTTTATATTTTGTGGATTCCGTAAAACATTATAAGTTTGTAGGTTTGTACAGTAGTTAGGGTAACGTGTGAATCTGATCAATGCTAGCTTATGTCAAAGTTGGCCATTGAACATAGCTCCAAAGTAATTGCCAACTTAAAATTGACCTAGGCCAATGTTATGATACAGTTTCAATCAGTAAGTAATCTATGGGGATTTCATGCTATGTTTTATCCATATTAACATTTGTAAAGAATCAATTCAACCCAAAAGCTTAAGTTATTAGGTGAGAGCCTCTTTTATGATTTATATTATACTCTAACACGCCCCCTCACACAAAAGCTCATTGGGCTTAAAGGGTGGATGATGCATCAGGTTCAGCCTACCTGTGCTAAGAAATTCCACAAGAGAAAATGGGGGGCGGTGACAATCGAACCCATGACACAAACGCTCTGATACCATGTAAAGAACCAATTCAATTCAAAGCTTAAGCCGTTAGGTAAGGGCCTCTTTAATGGTTTATATTATATTCTAACAATATTCTATTATTACTAGTATGCTCTTGACAACTTACAAACAGCATTTTCCCTCTAAAAGACCACGGGGGATTCAAAACATTTAACTAGCATTGGCCATGTAATCAGCTTGTTACAACTCTCAAGTTCAATTCCCTTTCTCAGTTTGTTAAATCATAGATAATTTGTTAAAAAAAAAGTAAGTAGAACTGGGTAGCAATAGTGCAACGTTCATATAGGAAATTTGTAATAAAACCAACCTTATTCCTAAGATGACGTACAAACTCCTCAAAATTTGCACGCCAAAGTGTTTGTTCGTCTATTGCTGCACCAAATTTTGCATCCAAGTTCAAAAAATCATACTTGCACAAAAAAAATAGTGAACTGTAAATTAGTACTTAGTCGGATCACATGAGATGACAATAGTCTCACCAACATTTTCTCCAACACTTATCATTGGGGAATCATCTGAATTTGTTTCTCTATCAGCATTACATCCTGTATCTGCAGTGAGTGAAAATCTGATTGCTTGCCCAGGCACCACTGCTTCTAGAACGCGTTGTTCTAAGGTCTCTGGTGCTTCAAATTTCTATAAGCCACAAATTATCAAAAGAAAAGTGTTGACAAAATTCAAATTCAGGTTACCAGAGTGAACACTACGCTGTTGAAACTTCAATCAAAATTATTACATTGAATGCTCATTATTTTTATCCACTTTCTAGGCCCCATTTTCTTTTTTTATATATATAACTGATGAACCAGAATTTTGACCATAAGCATCCTAAACAGGAAACAATAAATGAAGGGTCATCTATCCATACAAAATTCAAAAATTAACTAGTAAATAGAATTCAATGCTCAAAATATATTCATCTAACTTCTTTCTAATTGATGTTATCATAAAAGTGATCTCAAATTCGGCTAATTAGCAGGGAATATGACTTGCTCAAAGGTCAAAAGAAAAATAAGCAAAAGACTAAGGTAAACTTTTTTTTTAAATAATGAAGAAAGACGATGCAAAAAAAAGAGAAAGAAGGATAAAGGATCCTCCTTAACAAAAGAACAAAACAGAAAACAATCAAGGAAAAGGAGAAAATCAATGGAACAAAGCTTCCCAATCCCTCAACATAGCTGTTATGCCTATCTTATCCCAAATCAAATGATGTGCCAAAGAAACCTTAAAAGTACAAGAGTTCTGCTCCAACCAAATGCACCAAATTGTAGCACTGATCAGTTTTCCTACATTATAATGACTGAACCAAGCAGGTCGAGCTAAAATTTGTTTGTATCAGTCATGAACAATACCAGTGATTGGCATCTTTAATAACCGAATACAATCTTAACAGTTGTGTGTTAGGTCTCATTATTGCACTTCCAGTCCAATACAGAGCAAGACGTCAAATCATAACAGTTTTAACACTACAGACTGACATAGAAATGGTTACGGCACAATAACAAACAAGCTACTAATCATAATCAAAAATAACCCAACAACCTATAGAAATTGACACAAGTGAACAATTACCTTGGCAGACTTAGCACCTCGCTTCCTAGTAGTTGTTTCTTCTTTAGCTAAGGTAGAAACAACCAATTCAGGGGCAGGGCAGCGTTCAACATAGCGAGCTTTCAAAAGTTTACAAAGGCTCTCTCGTACAGCATCTCTAGCCACAGCATTTTCTGAAAGTGGAAGTACATATTTTTGAGATAAGACTAATTTGAGAGGAATTACAATTTTGGACATATAGGTGAGCTGAACCATGTTATAAATACAGTACTTTCAACATAAAATATTGAGAGCTAAGTACATGTTTGATTAAATTTTGAGTATACTGTTCAATTATAGGCTCAGAAATGTAATTCTCTTTAGCATAATTTTGAATGACTCGTGTAATTCTCTGACTGTATCATTACATTCAATTACAAACCAATAAAATCCTCTCCTTTTGTACCACAAATTTAGCTAAGTCATGTATGCTGAACAATTCCTAGAACCCGACCTTTAGCATACCTCACTACTAGTACGTGTATATTGACCCATTCGAAAAAAATACTCAATGTAGCACATGCATCACAAAATACTTGCCTTTTCCTTGACTTGCTCTGTCAACCATTTGTTTCAGTGTAAGCCTACCATCACGAAGCAATCCGTCAAGAAGCTCTACACACTGCAAAAACAAGTGAAAAATAAATAAATACTTTAAGCATATTAAGCCTTAAATTGAAAAGCTTCAAAGAAACATAAGGATCAAGCTGACTTCATCATCAAGTTCCCGAGACACAATCTCCAAGAATTTGGGAAATCTCAATCGATGGAGTATGTTATCAAACAATGCCAGGTACTGTGTTCTAGCTTTCAATCCATCTCCGTCACCACCTGCATTAATAAGTATTCTCTTTTTATATTTCATTTTATTTTAATCCAACACGTTCCTTGCAAGTAGAGAATTTAAAAAATTAATAATTATAGTAATAATAATGAAATAATTTGAAAAAGGAAAAAAGGGGGGATAACACATCACAGAATAGTGTTACCTTCATATCCAGGAACAAATGCTTGGGAACAATTGTGTTGAACTAAGACAAGTAGGGAGTTCTTGACTTGCTCCTTGGTAAGCTCCGTGAAGCGAATCAACAGTTCCAAAGTGAGAGGTCCATTGCTAAGTAGAGTTTCGCATACTTTCTGCTCACACAAAAATTCAACATTCGTGTCAATAATTAGAGAGGGAAAAATAAATCAATAACAAAATAGGAGAGAGAGAGAGAGAGAGAGAGAGAGAGAGAGAGAGAGAGATACAGCGACGAGATTGCCGAAGTGGTTGGTGATAAGATGGACGGCGAATTTGATACCGTACTGTGAAACCATTTTCTTCAAAAGAGAGAGAGAGAGAGAGAGAGAGAGAGAGAGAGAGAGAGAACGGCGTTGAAGGTGAAAGGCGCGGGAAGGGACTTAGGGATTTTCAGAGTTCGGTCTCATTTGTAAAAACAAATGAGGGACGATACGAAATTTATCATTTTATTCCTTTTATTTTAAAAAATAATTGTAAATTATATTCTTGAAATGAAAAAATTATTCTTTCGTTTTTTTTTTTTTATCAAAAATTCTTCGTCCCTAAGATACTTTTAGAATAACACCTAACTTAGAACCTCTTTAGGAATGTATTTGGACTATTAAAATTAACTTTGATTAGTTTATAAATAAAAAATTATACTTTAGAATATTAAAAGATTTGATTTTTAAATTTTCATATATTTCATTGCATTTGTTTTACAAATCTGATCAAATTTCATAAGATTTATTGAAATTAATTTGATTTTGAATTTAATTATATAAATTAATCAGATTACCCTTACTAAATAACATCAAATTCATTCCATTTAATATCTTATCATGTTTTTTTCTCAAATTTCAAATTAATCGTTTTGGATTGTAAAAAATAATTTTATTTATTATAATATGATAATATTAAATTATATATATATATATATATATTAATGTAATTTTTGAAAAAAAAAATCAAAATGACTCAAGCCAATTTTCTTGCCTTATAAAGAAAATCAAAATACTATTTTTAAGTCAATATTCTACTCTTCTGTATCAAACCAATAGTCTACATTTGTTCCTCCTTGAAAGTTTCTTAAATAATATAATTCAAATAAGTTATATTTTATAATTTGAGTATGTTAGAATATAATATGAATCATTTAAGAGATATTTACCTAATAGCTTAAATTTTTGAATTAAATTTGTTCTTTGTATCAGAGCTTTGATGTCACAGATTCAATCATTATTGCTCCCCACTTTCTCTTTGGAATTTTCTTAGCATATGTAGGTAGACATGTGTATTGTCGATCTTTAAGTCTAGCTAATGGGCTCTCATGTGATGAGACGTGTTAGTTTATAATAAACCATTAAATAAGCATTCACCTAACAACTTAAGTTTTTTTAGTTGAATTGATGTTTTACAAAGTAAAACTATCTTATTTTCACTTTAAAATAATTTATAATTCAAATAATTGTTTTTACTCTAAAATAATCTAATTTATGGGGTTAGATTCATTTACCACTGGAAAAGTTTATTATTTTTTCAATTAATTTAATTACTGTTGATTTTTGTCAATCTAACGATTATAATTTATTGAGAATTAATAATTAAATAATAAGTGTAATTTAATAAATATTATTTTAATAAATTATAACCGTTAAATTGATAAAAGCTAATAATAATTAAGTTAGTTGTAAAAGTGATAAATTTTTCCAATGATAAATGAATAAGTTCGGCTGTTCCCCTAATTCAATGGATCCTTTTTTCTTTAACATGACTGTATGTTATAAGGGTCTGTCGCTTCTCATGTGACTGCTGATAAATTTTTAACAGTAGGATATATGTGTGGATCCTAGGATACACGTGCAGATTCTATCAAAAACAAAAAAAAAATCAAGATTCGAACGCGTATCATGTGTTGCTGCAAGTTTTCCCTTCTGCAGTCACGTAAGAAGTACTTTCCCATGTTATAATCATATATGGATTAACGGGAGAAAAAATATTGAGATAAAAAAAAAACAAAATCTTGATTAAGATTTTGTCACGATATTATGTTAAATATGACATGAGGATCCACACCAATGTTAGATTACATGTCGCTTATCAAACCATATGAGAATCGAATCCCAAGTCTCTCCCACTCGTGTTCAACAATCTCTCCACGATTCCATGTGCTCGTCCTACGTACAAGGTGAACGACCATGCCCTACCCATTTTTCATTTTCTTTTTCTTTCAAGATTACAAATATTTTGATCGATAATATCCACAATTGACCAACACATTCCCTAGGTTCCTGCGTAGGCATTATATCATCTCATTCAATGAACAAAGATCCCAATTTAGAAATCCAACTCCTTCCTTGCTTCATTCATTGCAGAAATAGATCTTTACAAATATAATCTCCCAAGTCTGTGTAAACAATTGCTTCATTCATTCACTATCTAATTTTATAAACAATTTTTAATATGCCAAGTAAAGAGGTTGTGTTTCTGTTTCAAATACCTGTGTTTCTTAAAGTGCTCTTGTTCAAATATATGCCAATTGTGTTCAGGTGATTGTGGAGAAAGCTGACAGGAGTGACATTCCACACGATTATAAGACTTAAGAGGAAGTAAGTGGTTTTCCTTTGCTATTCTATCCCTTTTCATTAGTTTTCAGGCCTAAGAATACTGTTTTCCTATAGGGTTACTTCTCAGATGTATGTTTTCTACTTTTCTTGTCTGTGGGTAGCTTCCCAAGTGTCTTCCAATGTGTGATGTTTATCTTTATAGTTGTGACCGAATAAATAAGGATGGGTATGTGTCGACCCAAACCGGAGTTTTGGCAGAACTAAACCAAAATGATTTAAATTTGTTCGGTTCTTAACCAAACTGTTATTATTTTTTCAGAACCGGCTTGGATATGCAAACCTGTTCTGAACTGGTACCGAACCAGTATTCGAATTGGTTTTTGAACCAGTTCTTATAGTTCGTTTTAATTTTTAAACTAGTTTGTAAAACTAATTTGGTTTTCAAAATTAGTTCAGAAAAATGTGATTTGGTTCGTTATCTTACACATCCATATGGAATAGACACTTGGTGATCCAATACATATCCACTTCCAAGTAAAGTTTAAAATTGACTTCTTGGTTTGATTGTTCAAACATGTGTACTATCAGCTCATTAGAATTGAGATTTAAGGAACATAAGGATGTAATTTAATACGTTAAGGAAAGTCACTTGAAACCAAAATATATTATAGTTTTAAAACATCAAGTTTCAAAAATTGACATGGACACTAAAACCAGAGGGCTTGGAAGACTAAAAAGGTTCCTCTATATATATAGCAATTGGATAAAGCATTAGATCAGGAGTTATCAGCTTAATGATAAAGGAGGAGGTTGTTTTGGAACTAAGTTAATGCCCTCCACCATCCTGTTACCTAAATTTCGATTACTTCGATTTGGTTGTTGAAACCCAATAAGTAGACCAGTGTTATTGTTCGATCTAGAAAAGTCACCTGTAAGAGCTATATAGTAATTTGTTTGCACTTTCTGCCTTTGAAATGAGCATACTCATAATGTGTTTTTCTTTCAGAATTAGGGTTGTGCAAGAAATCAAACCAAACTGATTTAGTGGACTAAACCACAAGTGTTTAAGAAGGCTTTGCTATCTTGCGCTAGCATTTGAGGTCAGCCCATTTTTCTTCTTTTTGTCTATTTGATTTATTTGTACTTATCTAGCTTAAAATGAAGATATCTCATGTAACTGTTCTAGTTCAGTGGAATGTGTATTATTAAAATGATGTTTCATATGAAAATTCTCCATATGAAAATATATAGGGAATCATAACTATACAAAGATGGAAATAAATATAAGCGTGGGATCAACATAATCAATCTAACAATGAAATTGATTGGTAATAACATTGGTAGTAACCCTAATTGGTTGATACAATATCCTACCCCATAATTTTTAATATAAAATTCGTACTTAAAATTCTCCAAGATATGGATCTGTTGTTCTAATGCTGTTTTTGTTTGGTTGGCAGGACCATCAAGAGCATTTTTTTTGGCCCGAAACGTTTCATCCAGTTTCCGAATGGGGAAAAATGAGTTTCTCACACCTAAAGCAATTGCCAATCGAATCAAAGCAAAAGGACTACAGAAACTTAGGTGGTATTGCCAAATGTGCCAGGAACAATGCCGAGATGAGAATGGGTTTAAATGCCACTGCATGAGTGAAGGGCACCAGTGTCAAATGCAAGTTTTAGGACAAAACCCAAATCAGATAATTGAGGGCTATTCTGAAGAGTTTGAGAGCGCTTTTCTTGAGCACGTGAAGCGCAGCCACCGATTCAGCCGTGTTGCTGCCACTGTAGCTTATAATGAATACATAAATGATAGAGACCACCTTCATATGAACTCCACTCAATGGGCCAGGCTTACTGAGTTTGTAAAGTACTTGGGTCGAACTGGCCAGTGTAAGGTTGAAGAAACACCCAAGGGATGGTTCATTACATATATAGATAGAGATTCAGAAACCCTTTTCAAGGAGAGGATGAAGAATAAGAGAATTAAAGCAGATATGGTGGACGAAGAAAAGCAAGAGAATGAGATCATGAAACAGATTGAAAAGGCTGAGCAATTGATACCTACTCCCGAGTCTGATCAGCCTTCACATGTTGATCATCCGAGGGAATTAAATGTTGAAGATGGAGTTAAGATAGGATTTTCTCTTGGGTCATCGGTTAGACTTGTGACCAAAGAAAAGAGTGAAGCATCGAGGGTGGTGGCGTTTGATGATGAAGAGAAATATGAGGAAAGGAATCCTAGAAACTATTTGAAGAGGAAAGAAAGTGGTGGAGGAAAATCAACTTTGGATGAAATGATGAAGGATGAAGAGAAGAAAAAGGAAAAAATTAACAGGAAGGATTATTGGTTGCACGAGGGAATTGTTGTTAAGGTTATGAGCAAAGTCTTGACTAAGAAGGGATACTACGAGGAAAAGGGTGTTGTGCAGAAGGTGATTGACAAGTATGTTGGGGAAATACTAATGCTTGAAAGCAAGCATGTGCTCAGAGTTGATCAGGCAGAGCTTGAAACTGTGATTCCACAAGTTGGGGGCCGTGTAAAAATAGTAAATGGGGCATATCGTGGATCAATTGCCAGGCTGTTGAGTGTTGGGTGTGGATACAGATCTTTTTTGTGCTAAGGTGCTGATAGAAAAAGGTCCCTATGATGGCAGGGTACTTAAAGCTATGGAATATGAGGACATCTGTAAAGTAACGTGATTGCTGCCCAATTTGCACCCAGTTATGAGATCTCAACCATCCATGTTCTGCCAATGATAATATATTATTCTTCTTTATGTGATTTTGACACGGTTCCTCCCATTAAGTTGTACACAAGGAAAAGGTATCTGAGTTTGGTAGAACTTGCTGTCTCAGCAATTGGTTTGTTAGAAAAGAATATTCCACAAGTGGTTGAGCTGGAAACAGTTAAGAGACTTGGAGGGAAATGGGTAGAACGCTTGAATAAGTAGTGGGAGGGAGGGATCGCATGGGGTATCTGGAACCTTGGATTTGGGCTGGAAACTCGGAGAGACTGGAGCTGCATTTGGTTCCCTTGATAATGATGTAAAATAAAGGAAATTGTTTGAATTCAATTATGGGTTTTCTTGACACTGGAATTATTAGGGAGCTGGACATTGGTAGGTAGGGGATGAGGGTATGCTGAAGTGGCCCTTATTCTCCATTTCATGTAAATAGAAAGGCCATCTAATAGGAACCACTATTGCTTGTAATTATGGGAGAATTAAACTGCATTCATTTGAGTATTGTAGAGTGCACATGTACTTTTTCTTCATTTTTTATTGGCTAAAAGACGAAAGTTGATTGTTCATTGGTTTTGAATACAAGGAAATATGTGCCTTTCTTCTAGTGATTGATGTCATTGTGATGCTAGCTTTTAATAAATTGCTTAACATATCATCTATTCTGTCTCTACTCTCTGCAGTTTGACCTCGTTATCATTGCATATATGCATTTATGAGAAGTATTACCTTGTATTTGATTACTTTTGATGGAAGAGATTAGACTTCACAATTAGTCGGCAGAATTGAACTTATTCTGTCTGCAATTAATCACTCTCAAGTGTTTATTGATCTTGAGGTTTAGGATAGGAAATTCAAATTGTTTTAAGTTGGCTGGCCTTTTCTTTTATGGTTAACTTAGGCAATAATAACGTCAATCCTATATCAAATCGATACATTGTCATAGGCTACAACCAACTTCAAATTTCTAAAACCTAAGCATTTTCCTTCATATTTGTCCAGCTGCGAATTAGCCGCAGCACAAACCAATAAATGGGAGGGGCTTTGGGGTTAGAGCTACAAAAGTCCAATTAGAAAGACACCACATGCATAATCGAGGATTCTCAGATTTTTTTGGTAGCCAATTAGTAGTGTGTAGTGAGTAGCAGACAGCCATTTTTCTAGAAAAAGACTTAAGAAGATAGGTTCTATGGGAAATCTCTGGACTGACACTAAGGGTAGGTTGAGTTGGTCATGGGATTGAGTTGGTGTTAGACTTGTCTGAAAAGAAAATAAACCTGAGGAATGACTTATTTTCATTTATTAGGATAGGGGCAGCCATGATTTCCTTTAGGAAACATTCAGGATGGAAGTTTTGAATGTTCTGCAGATTTCACTCTCCATCATCAACTAAATCTTGTTTAAGACTCATGGTCTCTAAGGATTCAGTGTCTCTCAAAATGTTTTGTGCACTTTCAAAACCAGTCTGCCATCTGAAGCAGATTTTGTTTTTAAGGTAATACCAAATAAGTATAGAATTGTTTCCATGCAGTAGAGGAAGTGGAACTGCTAAAGAAATTTTCCTTTTCAGAACTGAAGTGATATTTTTCTTTGATTGTTAATTTTTACCTAAAGGCCTTTGACCTTGTGTACAGATGCCAAGAAAGTTTGGTAAGAGAAGTTAGATAAGCTATGTTCAAAAATTTTAATCCAAGTTGATTGCTCTTTAGAGGCTATGATATCTTTGCATTGAACAAGGTTTATTTTCCTTCGGTTGGGGGAGGGTTGTTTACTTGTCTCCTTATTTTCTCTTGGAGATTGTTAACAAAATCCTTTGTTATAAAAGATGATTGCGTCTGGTGTAAAGGAATGGGCGAGATTGAAGAAACTTTATAGGCTGATCTCTACCAGGTATGGAGATGAATCTTCCATGCCACTTGGTAGCTCTGCTATCCACTTTGTCAACAAATGCTTGCACCTCCTTTTTGTTACCCTTCAAGGTCGTGTTTCGGGGTTTCAAAGTGAAGTGATTAAACTTTGATCAAGATAAATTCTGAAGTTTCTTGAGAGTCGAGGTATATCCTCCTATCCTCTTCTAGATGCTGAAGTGTTAGCAAAGACAAGTATATCTGCTATCAAAATTATTAGCAAAACCTCATTTTTAATACATTACTTTTTTTTGGTATCACTGACCTTCCAATATGTGGATGATATTAAAGATTCTATTTGGTTTTGAATTTAACGTAGAGAAAGTAAACCTGTAAAGCAAAACCATATGATGAAGGAAAATTCTTATTTTAATTATAGGAGTAATATTTGTCATCATCAAAAATAGACTACATGCCTAGCTTCTCCCCTGCAGCATTAGCTGTTTGATTGCAACCTTCACCAGCCTTAAAAACCAAATAATCTTTCGTTATCTTGTCGGTCCCATAATTATTAAACACAATTCACTGCAGAGTAAATGGACTCAAGGTTTGTGCATAAACGTACATATATGTGACATAGTTAGTCTGTTTTCCAATAGTATTTTTGAAAAGTCAGACTATATAAGAGTCAGATCAGGTCATGAACAAGAAAAGGAGGTTTGTATCCTTCAAAATATATGGTGTGTGGGAATCGAAGATATGAGAAGGAAAGCACATTTTTTACCGTTAGTATAAGGGAAAGAGGGAAGAATAGCTCTTCCTCTTTATTTTTTACGTTACATATTCTAAAATGTACAGCAGTTTCCTTTCTTTTTCTTTCATCTTATAATATTATAAAGTGTTACTCTACCTAATATGATATATGGTGATTCAGGTCCACACAAGGTTATCTTGTTTCTATTCTTAAACTATGATCAGATAGATATCGTGATTGATCCCTTTGTAACTGTTCCTGAGAATTAAACAATCAAAAGTGAAAAAGTGAAAATCAATGCTTGAAATTGAAGTTTTCAAGTCAGTTACGTTAACTGGAAAGGAAAACATTTTTCTTTAAATGATGTTTAGTAGGTGAAAAAGGAAATGGCAAAATATGAAAATGTATTTGGATTAATAATAAAGGGGTTTTATAAGAGTTATGTCGTAGAAAAAATAATTGTGTAATGTTATAGAGATTCGTTTTGTGTGCCTTAGTTTTTTTTTTTTTTTTTTGCTTCAAAAAGTGCGGGCTCCACAAAATATTATGTGTGTAGAAAACTTTTTTGTGTCATGTGACTGATAGATGCAAACTCCGTAATAAAGTTAACTTTTCTGTTTCAAATATATTTATGCTTTTATGTAACCTTAATGAGTCCAAAAGCAATACAGGAGAATGTTTCAAGTGTACATAAATAATCATGAAAGCTACTTCAGTAATTTCACAAACCGAGCAGTTTCATTTGCATATCTACATTTGAGGTGTGCATGTGGGAATTGAAACAAACTACATAATGGAAAGTATGAATAACCCCACCTTCATTTTTTTTCCTTATAAATCAGAAAGCAACTCACAACTACTTGTTGGAGCACCCTATATACAACTTGTCCAATAGAAGCTTTATTCTGGTCCTGAATTGGTGAAGCTGTTTGGCTACAGGGGTTTTGATGTACTACCTTAGTGTAGGTGGAGAGTTCCAAAGGGATCGCATTGATCTAATTCTTTTCCATCCTGCATTTACATGCAGCTCAGGATTTGTGCTTTGTTTTACTGGTTCACAGATTTGGATCATGCGATCCCTTGGGAATTTTCCATCAGCTCTAAATTTATCTTCATCCATTTGATGTACGATCAACAACACCATCCTGGGTGAAACTACTCCCAAGTAAATCTTCTCCTCCTTCTCTATCTATATTATATCAATATATATGGTTTGATTTTATGTATATACTAATGACTGTGATTCAAGCACCACTTGCTATAATTCTTATCAAAATTATTCTATTTCAAGAAGTTAAATTTTGGTTAAGGTTAGATATACGTTAAGAGTGAATTTGCATCATATAAAAAGGATTAATCCATTATTTTTTTATGAACTTCTAGAAAGAAACAGAGTCAAGTTGATTAATCTTTTTTAGATTTGAGACACTATCTTCTTGTCCTTACTGTTTTAGTCCTGAATCCTCATCCTTATTTAATTCTTCTTAATCCTTTTTACTTGCCCCTTCCATAATTTTCAGGTTCAGTCATTGTTTTTTCGTATAGCATTAGTAATTATATATAATCTCTGTCCTGATTTTTTTTTTTTATAAAGTTTGATAATTGTGAATTAAGTTTGAGAAAAACAAATAAATGGTAAATTCCAGTAACAGTGTGAGGAAAGACTTTGATGAGAACGTAGTCACATCAACCTCGGACACGACACGGGTGCCCCCAGCTGACAAAGACAAATCCATCAAACAAACGTGTCGGTTAATCAAATTTTTGTTCACAAGGGTCTATCCCTCTCTTGAACAAACATTTGCTGCTTCATTACTTTATGTACTGCGTCTCCTCACTCTGTAGGTGTACCTTTCTTTTAAACCTAGGTCACCATGCACGTGTGTGTGTGTGGGCGGGCGGGGGGGGGGGGGGGGGGGGGGGGGGGCTACTAGCCTACTACTTAATTACATGTTACAGAAATAGGAAAACAATATTTAAGAAAATTATTTATAGAGTGCGTAGAATATAGATAAAAATATTATAAATTATATTATAAGTTAACGATTACATTTTAAATAAAATTAAAAAAAAATCAATGTTTTTCACTTTTAAAAACTATTTTAAAGGGACATTTAAGAAAAAATGACTTTAGAAGCGGATTTTGTAACCTCTTTGTCTCTTTTGAGTTGATGTTTCTTTTTTAAGAAAAAAATATAAGTAAAGATAAAATTTATAAAGAAATGGAAATTATACTCTTATGTTACATAAGATATATCTCTCATGTCACACTCACATAAAAAGATGTGCCCCTCTCTTTTTTTCTTTTTCTTTTTAAAAAAATTGGTAAACCCCACTTAATTTATCTCACAACATAAGATAACATCTCTCCTATACCATGAGAGAAATAAAGCCCAAAAAAGGATAATTGTAGTCTCATGTCACAAAAAAAATTTGTTATCTTCTACACACTCAATTTAAAGTGGGGCTCAATAGAAAAAATAATTGGCACAAGTATCGATGTATGGACATAAGACTATTTTTTTATTTCTTAAATGATGGAGCCCGTAAGACTTTTGTATCACCAACATGAGAAAAAAATATTTTCTCTCACGTAAGAAAACATAACCCCTTTATATAAAGGGTTTGCTTTTTTTGCAGTTATTGTAGATAAATTATCTGTAGTAAGCCCAATATGAACGTCATTTTGAGACGGCAATCATGATGTTTTTGTAATTTTAATTTATTTTATGATTATAATAATCTTTATATTTATAATTTTTTAAGATTTCAATACCAAAACGACGTCGTTTTGAGAATAAATGCAAATAACTTATCTGCAGAAATATTTTTTCCTTATATAAATATGATTAATGTTTTTTTTAAGAGATAATTTTATTTTTTACACACATATAAAAATATATGGAATTTATGTTTTCTTTTTCTTCTTTTCATATGAGCTCTATAT